CTTCCCCTTTAATTTCAGTGGGTTTTGAGGTACTTGCATGCTGGAGACTGATTCTGGACCATGCCAGTCACTGACTCCTAGTAATTTGTTTAACGCATCCATTACGCAGTATTTTGGCTCTTCCTCCATACAGGATTTCATGGTACCCGGAGGAAAGTGCCCCAAATTTCTGGTGCTGAATATGACTGAATTAAAATGCATTTGCTGTACTGCCTGCCTGGGAAAAGGTGGTGCTGCCCCAGGTTTTGTTCCCCTTTTCGAGAACAGATTGTAGTTTACAGGCTTTGATTTGTACACGGCATGAGTCCAGGCTGAGAACTCAAACAAAGACGTTTGCTAAGATGTTTTTTTAACTAAGACTATTTTTTTTTTTATAAAGGAGTGGATGATTTTTTTTTCTAAATCAAAGTTGCTTTTTCCTTTTTAGTTTTGTATTTACAAAAACAAACAAACAAAACCACCTAACCGTAGCTGGTTTTGAGCTTTCTTTGGAATTGTTCTTTTTAGAAGATAAAAATTATGCAACTCTTAAGGGGTACATGCCTGCCTCCCTCCTAGGGAGGAGGTAGGGCACCTTCCAGGATGTACCTGTAGTGAAAAGTTCATGCCTTCACAAGGCTGCTGTGAGACACAGACCAGATGCCAAATAGTACCTCCAACCAACTCGTTCTGTGCCCAGCTGATGTGGGTTCAGTTGCTTTAATGCTCATACCACCCCACTTCAGAAGTTTCTAGTAGCAGAATTTTTCCTGGCTTTCTTCTGCTTGCATCATTTTCATGCAATCAGATCTTTATTTTAGAGCAAGCACAGTGTTTGCAACACTGTCTTGTTGCAAAAAGTCTCCCTTGTAGGTCTCCTATTGGCATTACTGCATTTTTATTTTTTTTTCAAAAGGAAGTAAATGTGCTGCTCTTACCAAGTAGATCTAGTTCACTTTTCTTACCCGTGGAAGAATAACCTGAGATTCCCTAACAGGGCAGAGAACAGTCAAGTTCAGTTTGCAATGTAGACATTTTTGCTAATTGTGATGTATGGCAGTGGGACTGATTTGTAATACAAATGTTATTTAATCTGTCTGTATTTTGATACTTGAATTTCCTTTTATTTTCTGTATATACAATTGTTAATCTGTTCAAATTTGTCTGAATTTTCAACATCTTGTGGTACCAAACATAACCAATCTGTGCAACAACATAGACTGACCTCACTACAACAAGGCGAGATTGTAAATATTCCTGGGCTTCCAGCAGTCGTTTTGTTGTTTTCATAATTGTACAACTTAGAACAGACTGAATTAATAAACAAACTTAGACACACGTTCGCCCTGTTATCACTGCGACATACGCGTTGTGCAGAAGTTTCCTGTTCATCTGTGCAAGCAATGCTGTTCTTGTCCTCATCTCACAGATGCAACCTGTGCAGCCGAAGCAGGTAAGAGAAAGGGGTGAGGGTGGGCAGCTGAGAGGTGTGATTAGTTCAGCCTGGTGCTGTACCTGTGTTGCTTTGCTTTGTAAATCCAAGGAACAAGAGACCATCAGCAGTGTCAAGCAGTGTGCAGAGATGATTTGCTGCTCTCGTAGAAGCAAAGGACGGGCTGCTGCTCTGCTGGGAGCAGGCCTGGTGCAAGTCCTTGGCCGCAGTGCAGGGTTTGTGCTGTCCTGAGGTGCGTGGCACGCAGGATGTGGGGTGTTGGTGGTGCAAATCACTTTGGTTGAAGTCGCTCGTTTTGCAGTTAATCATACTGATCACCATATGACTGGGATTGATTCAGTATTGATCCTGAATACTGAATTATTTTGAGACTAATTTATGCGTAAAAGCACATCCATGTGCTCTGCTAAAGATACACCTACCTGTAACACGATGGTCTCCAACCTCTTTGTTGTCCACATAATTGTGGGCAAGGCTGATTTTTACCCCTTTCCATGAACACCTGCAAGGACTGATCCACTGAGGGAGGACTGTCAGGACCCTAACTTACTGATGATAAACACTAACATCAGTGTTCTGCTGCAGCACAGCAGCAATTAATTCATATAACAATTCTAACAGTTCAGGCAGCCATTGCATGTAGTATTTAACCTGCAAAGATTTTTGGCATACCAAGTAGGACGTTTTCTTTACATAAAATTAGAGCAAGAAATCCAGACATTTAAATACAGGTGAAAGTTCAGATTTTTGTGTCAAGTGAAATCTGGCTGATGTAAAATACTAAATTCATTGGGGGCTGCTAAATTTATACCACATGCTCCATTTCTAATAATTCAGTAAGACAGGTTTTCAAGCTAACTCTGAAATATATTGAGCAGTTTTAATGATCTTAAATACCATGTGGCTTTATCAAATCCAAACTGCGTCCCTGGGCTGTGACTAACATTTTGACAAAGTAGGCTACAGGCCCACAACAGAATTAACACCTTGAATTAAAAACAAACAAACAAACAACTGCATTGCAGTTTTATAACCTTCATTTCCTTCCCTGCTAAATAGTGGCTTTTTTTTTGGGGGGGGGAGGGTGAAAAAAAAAAAAAAAAGCATTCCCTTTTGTAGTTGAGAGGTTTATTCAGCTATTGACACGCTAAGAGTCACTTCCCAGTAGCTGTGGCGGCCCAGATGGGTTTATCTGATTGAGTTTTACAAGCTGAAGCATGATTTGAGAAACTGCTGGAGAATGTGTTCCACCCCTGCCCTCCTGTGTGGTACATAATAAAGATGATCAGAAGGAATCTGTTCCTGCATCTGATTCTGGTTCTGCCTCTGGGAAAAGCACTTTCTTGAGAATTCCCAAGTAGAAAGGGCCAAACACCTGCCTGTTGTGGTGGATCACGCTTCTAAACCTGCGCCCAACTTCCTGCAGCTCTTCCTGGATGGCATCAAGACCCTTTGGAAAATCTTTTTGAGAATTCCATCCATCAGGGGAAATAAAACGGCTGAGGAACAAATGAATCCGCTGCTCTGTAGGGAGCAAAAGCAGGAGAACAAAAATCAACCTTTGCACAGCAAGCAAGCCTTTGAGAGAAAGGATTCCTTGTGCAGTCGAGAGCAGATCCAAGGACAGCTGCGTTGTTTCAGGGTGGTGCAGACGAGCTCTAGATGGACTTGGGACATGGTGGATTAGTGTGGTCTTCTTCCAAACACTAAGCAGATGAGACAGCAGCCAGCACAGGAACCAAGGTGAAGCTACCTGATGCTAGGAGAGTACTTGAGTATTAGGTGTACACTCCCTGTTTTCACTTTGTCCTGGGTTGTTGCTTTTAACAATGGCTTTACCAGGGATACTGGGCTGCAGGACGTTAGGTTTGATGGATTTGGCAATGCTTACACTGAAGTGGAGCAGTTCAACAATACAGGCTTTTTGTCCACTCTAAATTTTTGCCCAGAACTGTCACGCATCTTAGAAGCACAAAGGAATATAGAACTTCAGAGCCCAGAATTTATCTAGCCTGCCACAGCAGCATTTTAAAACTGAAATTATTCAAGCAGCCTCTCTGAGGGACACAGAGCTGAGGCTCATCTACCCGACTGCCTTGGATGTTGCTGTTTCAAGTATGTATTTGGAAAGCGCTGAGAGTGACAAAGAGCACAGACAAGACACTGCTTTTTAGAAGTGGAGAGGGGAAGGCTGTCTGGCTCTGCAGCTTCTAACGCCACGCCATCAGTGAGTCACTGCCATCACACGCTGCCCAGCAAGGCTGGGTTAGGCTATTAATTCAGCCTTCCAAATTACTTCAGAACAAAATAGGCTGCTCTGACATGGAAGGAATAAATCCAAATAGTGTGATAGAATCTTTGTGGGCTGAGAAGGATACTTAAGTGAATGCAGCACTGGGCAGGAAGAGCCTCACCTTATTTTCATAGCTGATAAAAGCTTGTCTTCCATGTGGAAGTAATCTTTCCTGCAGTGTACGAGCTGCCCGTGGCACTGCAATCTGATGGGGAGCTAGTAGCGTTCAGAGTCTAATAAAAGGTCAAAATAATCAGCTCTTATCCAAGACATTTGAATAAATATTTTGATGGAGCAGCATTATAGGGCAGCTGGTTAGCTGAATACCAGGCAGTGCACTCCCTAGGGATAAATATTATTTAAAGATCTTAGCGTGGTGCTTTACTAGAGCCAGTGATTAAGCCCTCACTCTACACACTAGCCTGAAGATTGCAACACCACCTAGTAACAGACCTTGCACTTAGGCCTGTTTAGCTTTTAGCAAGGATGGTAGGATTTAAGAGATTTTCAAAGCAATTACTGTTTGGGAGTCTTTCAGGGTGAAATAGGAAAATCAGGGCAGTTTCTAAACCTAGCTTCTTGACCCTGCAGTAGTTCTACACAATGCAGGGAGTTCCTTTGCTAGTACCTGTCCTGCAGGGTTATAAGCCTAAACCTTTTATGAAAGCCTCTTCATTGCTGAGGGAAACACGAGCTCAGAGACTCACCAATGACATGCCAGACTGTGTTGCTCTTGTCTGCGATGCTTTTTATCTGGCCTTTCAGGGAAGCACATCTGTCACTGGTAAGAGCAGGGTAACCCAGCTGCGAGAGCGCCCTGCTGACTTCCTGCAGCACCTGATCGCTGATGTCTTGCAAAGCTTCTTCACACCTAAATCACACAAAGGTATACACCTGCACTCCAACCATTGGGCACATTTGCTGGGGAAGGGGTCTCAGGCACACAGCAAGCGGGGAAGTCTCTCCATGTGCCCTTTGGGTGTTATCACAGGCAGAGAGCAGCATCTGACAAACCCCACTCGGCCACAGCTCTGGTGCCTGCTGCAAGTGAGCCACACTTCCCTTCTTCTGCTCTTCGGCAGGCAGGTAGCTGCCCTGAGGCTGGCTCCTGTGACACGGGGCTCAGCACTCCTGCCTGCTCCCTTTAACCAAGAAGGGACAGTTGCCCTGGGGAGCTGACACCCAGCTAAATACACAGGCTGGCTTCCCCCGCTCCTTGCAGTGGACCTGGCTGCCATTTGGATCTCAGATCCCCTTCTGCTGCCAAAGGAGGTTCCTGCTGCTTGTCCCGCACCCAACCAGTACCTACACACTCTTCTTCTGGAAAAGAAAATGTAAATAACCCACCTGGTACAAGACAGCCCTTCCAAGAGGACCTTTGTTACCAGTTTCAGCCTAGCTACAAACCCAGGTGAGCCAAATAAGGCACTTCCACACGTGCTGCTGGTCACTAGCAGGACTGCAGCTGTGGTGGCAAGCTGATTCACCTGCGCTCGGACTTCCTGCAGCCGGGCCTGGTCCATAAGCAGTGTCTGTGAACAGAAACCAGTCAGCCTGTGGGTGCAGAGACAATGGCTGTGATGACTGAGCAGCTCTCAAGCCACGGAACTGGACTGTACCAGCCCCATGAAGCTGCGTGGAGGGAGGCAGCAGAGAAGGTTAGTTTTGTGGAAAGTCCAACTTGTTTCTCACGGGGAATAAACCCCGTACAATGACTCGTGTAAAGGGGACAGAGACTCTTGCCAGTTCTTTCTATAAAAGACACAGAACCTATACACTTGTTCATTTTGTATCTTTATGCTGTAAGGGTGTCCCAGCCCTCATCCTACCTCAGGGTATTCCTTTTGTCCAGGCTCCCAGCAGAGCAGGTTCATGTATCCTTGATTTAGCACAGCCGTGAGACTTGGCAGAGCTGGGCTACCACCGACTGCCCCCTGTAAGGCTGCAGAGTGGGGCTGTGACTCTGAAAGGGATGCAGACACGTCTGCTGCTGCTTCGCGCAGCCACTCTGTGGTGTGATCCAGGCTGTCTGCAACAGGGTTTAAGAAAAAAAAACAACAAAAAAAAAACAGGTTAAACTAACTGAGTAAGAAGTGGCTACTGTGATGTTCCAGCTGAACGGGATGCACATCTGCAATGCCAGGGCACGTGCTGGGTCCTGGGGTGGTGGGGGGGTTTGCACCTTCTATAATTTTCAAAATTAATGTCCTGTTGGCAGGGCACAGGGTTAGGCCTCCTGACACTGGTATCTGGAGGACTTTATGCTGTAGAGAGGGTTTCAGTCTTTGAATAGCACCTCTAATTAAGCCTTATAAATGAGAGAGGCAGCCAGAGAGAAATATTCTACAGCCTAGCACAGAAGGGATGCCTGCACCAAATGCCAGCTTTTCATTTAAATACACCTGCTAATGCCATTTTGCTGATTCCTCTGGGGGTCTCAAAACACTTAAAACTTGCGAGCTCTTACAGTCACTCACGAGGCAGCTATTAGGCCCATCTTATGCATGCAGAAACTGAAGCACACTGACTTCTTTTCTGCAGCATATGGTAGAGAAGAGGCTGAGAAAGGGACCCAGGGGTCCTTCAGCTTTTAGAGGCATTTCTCTTTTCTTTTACTGAGCATGTGATGAAAGCATCAGCTTTAGAATATTCAAGGTCCTTTCTGGTGCTTCATTATCTCCCACAGAAGTAATAGGTCTCGTCTCCCGTCCCCACTGACTTACTGGGAAGCTTGTCTAAGAGTTCCTGGAATTTCTTCCGTTCGTACTGGATGGAATGGTCCCGCAAGTGGGGGCGGAGGCTCTGGATGCTAAAATTCAGCATATCCATTTTCATCAGGTCCAACACCCGGAAAATCTCCCTGGATGAGACACGGTGAATTGAAAGGTTAATACGTTAGTAAAAGTGAAAGTTGTGGGTCAGTTTAGAATGCTAAGAAAGGGAAACTCAGAAATTCTTTACTCGGTATTCTGACAAAAGGCTTTTCAGTATAATTGGAGTTCCCTAAAAATTACTAGAAAAATTGGATTTACTTCACTGAAGATTGTTCTATTATCTAGGAGCAACTGGGCAACACGAGTGTAACTACCCTGAAAAAGAACCAAAACCAAAAAATGAAAGTAATTCCAGGGCAGTTTCCGCTTAACCCAGTGTTTTAACGTTGAGGGTTCTGCTGGTCTGCATAGCCCAAGACAGAGGGAGCATCGCCCACCTGAAAAGCTGAGCTGGGTCTGTGAGGCTTTGCAGTCCTTGCACTTCCTCATCTCGAACGGGTGCACACAGCATTGCCATCGTGTCAAGGATGTATGTGGTGAGGCCACAGATGTCCAGAACCCCGTGCTCAGCCTCTTGTCTAATTAACTCCATGTCAAGGGCCTCTTCAATTCGGCTTTGCAATCGGTTGTGTCGTGGCAGCAGCAATGACAGCAGAGCCTGCCCAAAGAAGTAACGCTAATTTTTAATCCAAAACCACAAGAGATCTTCGGAATTGCTCAACAGGAATCAAGGTTGGCCTTGAATTGAGACTCAGTACACAAATTGTGGGGCACACGTTGCGTTAAGGGAATGTTTGTCTCTAATGACTCACTGCAGGGTGTCTGGCTACTGTTTTGCAGATTGCAAAATCTCCTTTATCACCATGCACAAAAGAAGGGAGTTACCTGCCTGGAATCTAATGGGAAAATGTGGACTGAAGAACTATACACAGCTTCATGCTCCGCTAAGAACTGTTGTCTTTTAGCTCTAAACAATGTTCTTGAGGACCACGCTGTACACTTACACAGTAGGTACAGTTAGTTCATCATATAGCTAAGGGTGTCTTTGTACAGAGAATTGCAGTTTTTGGTTGTCAGATGCTATACCTGGAATGGCTGTTACTAAAACCAACAGCTCAACAGGCTTTCCATTGCTTTGGTAGAGCGTTTTTTAAAGACCTGAAACCAGAGAATGAGTTTCCCTCTCAGACAGGTTTTATAAGGTGCAGTTGTGTAACTTATGTCTCCCTATAAACTATATGGAGCTTGTTTTTGCCTCTTACACATGTTCACATGGGAATATTTGGATTTAAGGGGTGGGGTGATGATTAAGGGAAGACTAATTCTAAGGTCTTCCCTGTGCCAGGATCAGCTGACCTCCTTTATCTCCTGCAGCAGCTGGATTGCCTGAGTGTAGTTGGGGGGGCTGGCAGAGATCTGTTCTTTCAGGTTGTCCCAGAAAGCTTTGTGCAATGTCTCCTTCACTCTGTTTTCCAGGCTAAGAAAGAAGAGAGGGAAGCAGGGGGTTTATCTTAGCATCAGATAAACACAACTTCTCAGTATGATGGGGCCATTCCTCTCTGCTTTCATTGTAGTTTAGGTCTTTTGACGTTTTCTTCTCCTAGTCTTTCCTCCAAACTGGCAGCGATACACCTCATGAAAATCTCTCTCAGATTAAATGTCCCATTCATCTAAAACAGGACTCTATCCTCTCAACCCTGCTCATAAAACGCACTTAGCCCTTCTTAACTATGGGATAAAAAGAGCATAGTATTTTTCACAGAAACTCTTATATGTCCTCAGAGAAGATCAAGAGAATATTTTTCTAGCTAGCGCTGATGCAATGAAGGAGAGGATGTCAGCAGCTTAAACAGATCTTTAACTAACGAGCAGACACCTCAGAGCTGTTCAGTGAAAATTCTGCTTTGTTCTTGTCAAAGCTGCAGCTCACGCAGCCGAAGCCTCTAATTCTTTCAGTGTTAGTGAGTCACATCTGACATTCGCTGTATTTAAGAACTTCTTAGTAAATCGTGAAGCAACGAATAAATAAAACAACACAGTTCCCCCCCCCCCCCCCCCCCCTTTTTTATTTGTTGCTTCAGGAACTCTTTTCTTTTTACTTCTATAGTCAGAACCTAACCTCCTTTCCGTGTTCTCACATCTTTTCTGTAATGTGACAGAAAGAAGCCTAGCCTGAACATATATATATATATATATATATATATATGTGGTGTCTATACATTCAGGTATACGTATTTATATGCACCTGAATGGGGAGAAGTTGCCCATTTGCAGTTTGAAGTCACCATTCAGCACGATTTCATGCGCGAGGGTCAGTTTGTACATCTCGTCAGAGACTTCCTGCAGCTCGCTCACGGACAGGTCCTGTGGAGGGCTGGCTGTAGGCAAGCAGCAGAAAATAAAGACCGTGAGGAGGACGGCTCAGCAGCCTCCTGCGAGAAGAAGGTTTAAAAACTGGTGGAGAATGAGGGAAAAAGAGAGGCAATTTGTGTTTTAGGGGAGGAATAGGCTTTGCAAGGGCACTTTGCTGCTGGAGGACGCTGTGAGCTCGCTGGTCGATAGCAGGCTGACCCCTGCTGACCGCTGCTCGGCATCGCAAACCCTCACAGGGCTCCCCTCAGCCCCGAGACCCCCCGTTTTGGCGCTGTCCCGCAGCTCGCCGCTGAGGTGCCGGCGGCTCCGGGCCCGGCCCGCTGCCCCGTACCGGGTGCCCGCGGCCTTTCCTCGCCGCAGTCCCGGGGCCGCCCGGCCGCTGCCTCAGAGCCTGCCGGCCCTGGGGGCCGCTCGTCGCCGGGGCTGGGCTTGGGCATGGTGCTGCCAGGGCCGGGAAGGGGCGCCGGGGTGGTAAAAGGGGCGTTACGGTGGAAAAAAGGGCTCCAGGGTGGTAAAAGGGGCGCTGAGGTGGTAAAAGGGGCACCGGAGCCCTGCCCCCTTGCCCCGCCGCCCTCCTCCCCTCACGGGGCCGCCGTTGGACTGAGGCGCGGCGCGGCCCGCGCCCGCCGCCCCTTCAAACGGGACGAAACCAACGCGAGGCGGGAGGGGAGGAACCGGCTCAGCGCTTTCGCCCATTCCCCCCGCCCATCCCGCGCCCACCCCTGGGTGCCAGCCCCCGCAGGCACCCAAAGTGGAATCCGTTCCGTGGGGCCCCGCTGGTGGGCGCTGAGCGGGTGAGGCTCGCTGACCGAGCGCCCGAGCCCCCAGCGCTCCCCCATGGTGGCGCCCGATGGGCCGCTCCGCAGCGCACCGTCCGGGCGGAGGGCTGCCCGTCACCCCCCACTGTGTGCGCGATGGAACGCTCCAGGCGCCGAGCCGAGGCAGCGCGGCGGGGCTGTCCCATTCCGAACCTGCGGGGGGGGGAGGAGGAGGAGGAGGCACAAAGCTCAGGGGCCTCATGGCAGACAGGAGGATGAGGAGGGTGGGCGCGAAGAGCGGGAGGGCTGTGGTGGGGCGGGGGCGTCCTGCCCGGAGAAGGGCTGTGAAGGCGAAGGGAGGTGTTCGTTTAGGCTCAGCACACCTCACGGCCCAGGAGAGGCGGTGGAGCTGTGCTGCTGGCGGCTCTGTGGGCTCGGCACCTCCAAAAACCCAGCTGAGAGCTGGGAGCCGCCATTTGCTGCCCGGGTGTGGTGAGGCCGAAGGCTGCTCCTTCATCCGTCAGCTGCCCTCCATGGTGTGTGGCACTTCGAGTAAAACATAAGCAAAGCACAAAGCACATTGTCACCCCTCACCGCCACGTCCCTGCCATGCCGTCAAGGCGCCGTGTCCCACACCAAAGGCGGTGCTGCTGTGGCCCTTCCCGTCTGGCCCCAGCCCCGTTTTTGGGCTAAATTCCGTGTGAACGCCTCAGGAGGGCTGTGCAGGACAGGACGGGCTGCAGCAGAACAAAAGGCAGTCGCCATGCCCGGCTCCCCTTGCCCTCTGTGGAATGGCAGGAATTTCTCCGCCGTCCGAAGGTTGGGGGAGTCATGGGCTGATTGTTTTTATACCTAAAGTCGTGGCTTAGTGGCTGTCAACTGCCGGGGTATTAACCTTAGAGCTGTCAGAGGGAATAAAGCCAAAAAGCCAACTCTAGGGCTGGAGGTTGCAACAGCTGCAGTGTCCCTCCACCTAACTTTTATCATTTATTTTTATCAGTTTTCTCTCTGGTAGGCGACCCTCTGTCTGTGTACCCTCCTGCTATAACCCCTCCTTGACCTGGCCAGCACTGGAATTAAATCTGGGGGGCAAAATGCCCAGCCCGGGCTGTTTGTGCTGTCATGAAACATCTGCCTCTCTCCTCCCAGCACCTTCCCATTTCCTCAGCATCCTCTAACGCCCACAGCAGGCACCTGCGGCACCCACTGTGGAGCTGGGGGGTCACAGAGCACTGCAGGGCCATGGGGCAGGGGCTGGGAGGTCTTGGGGTGCCCAGTGCCCGGCCCCACGTGTGTGTGGGATGAGCACAAGAAGTGGCCCCTCCGGGAGCTGGGGCCTTGATCCGCCCCTCCTGAAACAGCTCAGCCCTCCAAAGGCTCTGAAACGCCTAAGATGTCTGGGTGCTGTGGCTGGAGAACTGCAGAGGATGAAAGGCTCAGCGCTGGCACGCCATGTGGGGACGGACAGCCCAATTACCGCATGTAATTAGTTACAGCTTCGCAGCTGGGCTGCGCGAACGATGCTGCAGCTCTCTTAGCCCCGTGCAGTTGCAAAGGGAAATGTCCTGGGTGGGTTTTAAAGGTGGTTGGAGCTGCCCCTGTTGCCGTGGGTTTGCAGCAGGCCAGGAGCGTGATTAATGCAGCTCAGCCGATGAGTTGAAACCCGTTTCGTTTCTGTAAACAACCGCGTGCCGGGGAGGCTCGCCATAGCCTGAGCCCCTGGCTGTCCCACTGTGCATCTGCAGCACACGGTTGTGTCAGAGCCATCTCCTGAAACCCTCGGTGATTTCCTCAGGCCCCCGGGGAGCTGTAAAAATCATCCCATCAAAAAGCAATAAGGGAAAAGTGCTTGGCTCGGGCAGCGCCGCAGTTACATCAGATGGCGACCGGCCCTTGGCTTGGGGGTGGATGCTGCTGAGAAAGGAGCTGGGAAAACCCCGACGTGCGGACAGCTCTTTCCTCTTGCTCAAAGCACCCCAGAGCTCGTCTGGCATGTGGGGTTTGCCAGGTCAGCACGGCCTTGGGGGGGGGGGATTTTCTCCCTCCCGAATCGAGGGCCCTGCAGGCCAGCAGCACAGGCCATAGCACTGCTTGCTGTGCACTCTGCAGGCAGGCAGCCTCGGGATTTTTTAATTTTATTTTTTTTGCATTTGTCTGTTTTTCCAAGGGTGGACTCGCCGCAGATAACGCGCGTCGTGGCACAGCAGGCTGACCCCAGGCAGAAGCAGGGCCGTCTGCTCGCCTCGCCTGAGCTGATAATTATTGGAGAACTCTCCCAAAATAGCACGTGCAGTTCATGCACGGTTGGTGGCTCCGGCCTGGAAAGTTCAACAGCAGGAGGAGAAGGCGAGGGGAGTGAAAACAATGGGGCCCCTGCATGCGGTGCAAACATCGTGTTTGCACGTTCAGGAGCATCAATCCAGTGGGTTCATCCCAAAGAGCAGCCATGAAGGGGCACGAGGAGGATTTTGGGGTGGATTTTCTGCTCAGAGCCCCAGGAAGGAGCTGGCAGGCAGCTCGTGGGCAGGAAGGCCGCTGGTTGTGAGAAATACACCCAGTAAAGCTCATCGTGGGGCCAGTCGGGGCCAAATCCTGCTCAGGAATTTCCCCTTGTGCCCCCCGTGCAGCTCCATGCGATGCCAGCTCCTGCTTCTGCCCCTTTCTGATCTTCAGCTTTGTGTGAGGAAGCCGAGGGCGGGGAGGTGGTGTTTGTGTCAGAGAATAAAAGAGCACAGCCCGCTGGTGCCTTCAATTTGCTCTCATCTCTCCATTTCAGAGCAGGGCCCAGATCTCCCAGCCTATAAATCCTGGTCCCAGAGGAGGCAGTTGTGTATTTAAATGTATGTGCATTTGCCCTGCATTCATTTCCTTTCCCCAGGGACTGGTGACATGAAGAACTGTAATAGCTGAATGTATTTTTAATGCCTTTCCTGCAGATTTCTGCAAGGGAATCCAGTTCCTGGGTGGCTATAACTTGCCGCAAAGGCAGAGGACCTCGGGAGCATTGGTAATAAGTGGGGTAGGTTTTTTTAATCTACCATTTTAATGAGCTTCATCCATCTCCCTGATTAGATTAATCTAATTTATTTCATCCAAGCCATTTAGGTGGAATTCCGACGGGGGAAACGGGGATTTTTGAGTCTTTCAGGGTGAGCGCTCGAGTGTCGGGCAGCAACCTCCACGGGGATATTTCCAATTTGCCCTTTTATAGCCTCAGAGACTTGTAACCCCCACATTCACATCGGAAAGCACCCGTCTGTGCTGCAAACCTGCCTGTATCAGCAGCACGACGGTGCCGATGAACCCAGGCACCGCTCCCTTGCCCTGATTCAAGCAACTCCCCCAGGAGGGCAAAGCCAGGCTGGCTTGCCAAAAATGCGCCCACCCGGCAGGAGCAGAGGGAGCAGCATCGCTCTGACTGCCCCTCCACGTCCCAGGGGCAGCGAAATCTCCACGTGGGAGCATCCCCACCGGCGGCACGGCTTCGCCGGGCGCAGCGGGAGGGAAGGGCCCGCTTGTTCAAACAGAAATGCCTTCGGCGGCAGGCGCAGCCAATGGAAGGGGAAATGGGTTTTTTGTTTAAAAGATGGCGTTGTTTTCTCAAGTCTGACGAATGTGAAAGTCCCCATTTAAAGGAGGCGAACCTGCAGTGAAGTCGGTCACTGTTTACACGCCCACGCGCCGACTGGGGCGGCCGAAAGCAAACTTCCTGGTGTATCCTGATCCAAATCACCTGGGAGCGGAGCTCAGCGAGCACAGCGCCGAGCTGTGAGCGCCGCGAGCAGGGCTGCGGCTCTGTTTACAGAAAAGCAAACCCCGTCCGAACGGGGGACGTGAAGCCCGGCTGGCATTGCAGCCCCAGAAAATGGGGGAATTTGGAGCCTGCGTGCTGCAGCTTTGGCTCTGCCAGAAATCCTCCTTCCAAAAGGAGAATGAGCAGGGTGGAGGGCAGAGAGCCTGAGCAGGTGTCTTTGGAGGGTGTGGAGAGGGGAGCTGGGGAAGAGGGGAGTTTTCCTCTGCCCCACGAGCCAGGAAAGCTATTTTTGCAGGAGCTCCCGGTGCACCAGACAAGGTCAGGATTGTTTCCCTGCTGGATGCTGGTGCAAATATGCGGCCGGGCGCTTGGATCCCGAGGAGCTTGCAGCTCCCCGGCAAGCAGATGAAGCATTAGTGCCCGTCTTGTCCAGGTGAGGGGATGGAAACGCTGGGCTGCACGGTTCTGGTCTCGGTGTTGGGGCTGCCGTAGCCACTGGTGGCAATTTGGGAGCCGGCTGGGTCGGCGAGTTTCCTCCTCTCTTTCAGCGTGGACGTGCCCCATGGTGAGCTACGTGTTTCCCCGGTGACTTCAGCAGCTATTAATTCCCTGCTCCTAACCCAGAGCGTGCCCGTCTCCGTGAGACATCCCATGCACCCGGGCTGCCCGTGGCCACCTCGGTCATGGCGCACGTGGCCGGGCGGTGGGATTTGGCCACCTTCAGCAAACCATTGCCCGCCCAGCCCGGCCTCTTGTGGCCAGCGGCTGATCTCAGCGCGTGGCCAGCCGATCCCGTCACCGCGTGCCCAGGGGATGGGTCGGTGCTGGGTAAACTGAGGCTTGCAGGGGTTTGGCTCGTGGTCACGTCCTCAGCCTGGGACGGTGCCGAGGAGCCGCTCTCTGTGCTCTTTTGCCCCGTTGGATGCTCCTGGACACAGTTTTGGGCTCTGTTGGCAAAGCATCGGTGCTGCTGGCTCGGTGCCCTTGGGAAATCTTTGTGTTTGCTGACTTGACTCCATTCGTGCTCATGGAGAGCTCAGCTCCGGTGGTGCCGCGGCGTGGGGAGGCCCAAACCACACACAGAGCTCGAGCAGGGATTTCAATCCCCCCACCCCAAAAAAAAAGTTCAAAGGTGTTTCGGCTTAATGCGGTTTATCTAAATTGCTTCATGTTAGTTAATCTGGATTAACGCAAATGCTCTCGGAGTGGTTGGCTGGGGAAAGGCTTGCTAAGCCATCCCAACACGAAAAGACTTTTCCGAAAGTGAAAAGTTTGAGCTGGGAAAAAACAAAAAAAACAAAAAAAGGCAAGGTCCTGTTTTGTGTTGAGTGCGTGCGAGCCCTGCGAACCGAGCACGGCTGTTCCCAAATCCAGGGGCTGCCTTCGAGGGCTGTCTTTGGGCACCCCCATAACTGGGGAGCTGAGAACCTCCCCCTGGTCTCTCCGGGGCTGTGTGAACCCCTTTTGGGCTGGCGTGCAGCTGCTGGCCCGATTACTGAGAGAGATCCAAGGTAAATGGGAGGTCAAGCCCAGATTTGGCGATTTTGGTGGGCGCGAGCGTGACTGAGGGCGCCATGTGATGGGGACGACGTCCTGGTGATTGATCTCCGCGTCCTCTCCTCTCCTGGGAGCTGGGATTAGGAGAGATTTTACAGCTGAGCGGCCAGCATCGCCTTAGGATTCGGTTTGCAAAGGCTCAGCCCTGACAGCCTCTCCTGGGGAAGGACTTTTTAGGTATTTATGGCCATTTGGACCCATCAGTTCATGGATCACCCCTGCGTGTCTGTAGGAACTTCCCACCCTGAGAACAAGCAGAGAAACGCCCTGCGGGGAAACTGGGGCTCAGGGGAGGGAACTACAAAGCTTCAGAGAGAATCGTCTCATATCTGTGTGTTTCTCTGGGATTTGCGTGCGCTTTTTTGCCTTGCAGAAGGCTTCTCGTGGACCCTCGAGCGAGTCCTCGCACCTCGGAGCTGGGTTCCTCCCATGCAAGGGGGCGAGCAACCCTTCCTGCAGCCACCCGTGCACGGACCGAGGGTGCTCGGGTGCTGCGGGGAGGGCCGGGGAGCGACGGATCGGCGCCGGGAAGGATCCGGCCCCAGCTCCAGGCAGCCGCAGGCGAAGCTCGGCGCTCCCGCGGAGCGGGGATGGAAGTTGTAAGCGAGACCTGGGCGCTGCCCAAAACCTGGGGACTCCCTCCTCCCCCGGCCCCAGTGCAAACAGCAGATTAACAATTTATTTGACGTGTTGCGGCTGGTTAGTTTCTTCGCCCGCTCCCCTGATCAGAGGGAATAAACGTTGCAGTGTGCAATAATGTTCATTTCAGGTGAGGGTAAATATAGAAAGGAAAACCTGCTGAGAGCGAGCCATTTATTTCTGCGTTTGGAAGCCTCTGCTCATAAACAGTCAGTCATAGCCATTTGGAAAATCCCAGCGTGGTTTTCTTGGCCATCCGAGAAGAACGTTTACTTTCCTGTAGGTTAAGAAGTTAGTTTTAAATTAAAAAAATAATAATGGCATCTCACTTCCAGCTGCCCTCGGGTGTTTAGGGCTTGTTGACACACTAAGGCCGCTCTGTTCTCCGGCAAGGCTGCCCTGGTGCGGGATCACAGAGGGGATCCTGCAGGGCTTTCCCGGCTGCCGGTGCTGGGGAAACTTGTTCTTTGATTTCCTCTTGTCCCCCAGCTTTGGGGGGCTCAGGGGGATTTCGAATCGGGATTTGCTCAGAAATCTCAGCCGTGTGCAGGGCTGGAGGGTAATGGGCAGGGGTTTTGGTGGAAACACCCAGCTTTGGGGGTTGTAAGAGCTGGTAAGGCTGCAGAAAGGTGCTTGGGGTGATCCCAAGAGCCCTGGGACTCGGGGGCTGTGTCCGCAGGGAGGCAGCGGGGCTGGGGCAGGGGGACAAGCCCGTTGTGCTGTGCTCACACCACACCAGGAAAACCTCTGAGGGTTTTCGGCACAGCGTGCCAAAGACAACAGGACAGCGCGAGCTGCAGGAGCATCCCTCAGCCGTGCCCCGGCGCCCAGATGCCGCAGCATAGGAGAAACCCCAAAACCAGCTTTGTAGGACTCAGCTAAGAAAGGTGAGGACTCCCTGACCCGACACCCAGGCTCTGCTTCCCTCCTTTATCCCGACAGCAGCTCCGAGGACCGGAGTGGGACGCGGCAAAGCGGCCACCGTGGCTTGGCACGCTGCTGGCTCCGCGCCGCTGGCACCGGGGGCCGGGAGCCAAGGCGCTGCAGCGGGCTCGGAGCGGCCAAAGGCTCCCGGCTCTGACGTCCTGTGCAGCCAGGAAGGGTCTCTCCGTGTTTTCCGACAGGCTTGGGATTTGGCTCGGGTTTGCCTCGGGTTTCCGAAGGCAAGAGGCAGTTAAGTCTCTTGGAAGAATGAATTAATTAGCGAATGCCTTTGGTCAGGTCAGCGCCCTCCAGGAGCGTTCTTCAAGCCTTGAAAGCGGCGCCTCTGCACCCAGGTAAGCCGCCCTGAAAGGCTCGTGTTACCGGGGTATTTTAAGAGCTATACGTACATCAGCGCGGAGGAACCCTGCTTTGAAAAAAAAAAGGAAGAAAAAAAAAAATCCTCCCCCAAAACGCGCTGTTGACTCTAATGGTGGCATTTGTGTAAGCAACAAAATATTGACGCAGTTGGCTCAGGGCTGGCTGGGGCTTCTGGAAATAAACTAATGCCTTGTTAAATTGTATATGGAAATGCAAGTGGGAAAATGACTGACATCTTACACAACTCGGGCACATAAAATCGCTGCTTTACTACAGTGTGAAAAAACTCAGGAATTAATAGGTCTCCTTCTGCTCGGGGGCGTTGGATTTATCCCCGAGTAAGATCCATAAACTATTTTAAGGAGAGAAGTGCTACTTTTAAACGCACGCGTCTGGGTCCTGGAGTTAAAGTGGTGTCACCAGTGCCGAGTTAACCCCTTGCCTTCTCACCAGCCCCTGGGGTAACGCTCGGCGGAGCCATGAGCCCCGTTCTTGGCAGATAGTGCTCTGAGTGGCCATACGGACACATGGACACCTGATAAACGCTAATCCATTATTTCTGGGGGCGTTAAGCACGGTGTGTTCTACCGACCTGGGTCAGAAATGCATTTCAGGCCTCACTCCAGCAGAACCCGAACCCCGAGCTTGATTTTACATGCGTGGGACCTAAAAATGCCTTTAAAAGCAACCACCTGCTCCGCAGCAGCGCCTGGGCTGAGCCCGAAGCAGGCACTGCTGAGTTCTGCCGTCGGTGGCCGGGAGATGCGTTGTGTGAGTGTCTTCTAGGGGAAAGATGATTAACAAAGCTTCAAAGAGCGACGAGTTGCTTTCCTTGCTGCCCGAAGCCCCTTCCTTCTCCACCCACATCCTGACGAGCTGCCAGTTGGTGTACACATGCTGATGGAAAAGCAGGACAAGGTACGAGCTGCGGGGAGCTGCCGGCAGCGCGGGGTGCGAGCCACCAGCAGCAGCCGCTCGGGTGTAATTACACCCCCCCCGTGCGCCGGAGTGCGATTTCCCAGTAATTATTCTGGAAGAAAAGCCTGCCTATTTCTGTAAGGGCTTATGTCACTTAGAAAGCTGTTATAAATTCGAGCTGGAAAAAGGGACCCTTATTCTGGGCTAAGTGTGGTTAGTGGTTAGCTGGGAACGGGGCTATTCCTGGCGCTGCCAGCGACCTTCCCGGTGACGCCGGGTAAAGTCACCTCACCTCCGCCTGTGGCAGCTTCTCCCGCTGCAAAGTGGGAATTACAAACACGGGCTTTTCTCCGCCCGCAGGTTTGGGAAGCCCTGCGACGCTGGAAAAAAGGTGTCACAGCGTGGCAGGCAGTCATTTAGCACGACCCGGCGCTTTTCGCCCCCCTTGGAGGCATCTCCATCAAATTGCAGGTTGAGGAAAGCGGAGATGTGCCCGGGGAGCTCGCCATGGGGATGGGCTGAGCCTCTTGAGCCCGGGCCGTTGGCTTCTTACTGGGAATGCAGTGTTTTCCTCGCTGTTTTTAAAAATAGCCCATTCTGTTCCCAGTTTGGGACCGCACCCCTCGCCGGGGCATCAAAATGTCTCGGCTGCTGCTTCCTCGAGCCAAGTCGTGGCAGCGCAGACTTGCGGGGTGCACGAGCGGTGTTATTGAGCACCCGGCGGGCAGGAGGGGTCCTGCTGGGGGCAACAGCGGCAGGGTGCCCGTGGTCCTCATGGATGGGGGGAGAAGGCAATCTCCTGGTTCTCAGCACAGTGGCTTAACCCCTTGGCCTCTTCTTCTTCCTCCTGTCCGATTCCGGAGCTGGTTCTGCAAGCTCCGAGATCCATAATGGGACTTTTGTGCCCGTTGCTTCTTGCACAGCCTCAGAAATCCCTTTTGGCCCCAACGCCGTGCGAATATGCCCAGGCAGTGCTGAAGCACCACCATGGGGATACAGGGAGGCGAGGGGAGCATCAGCCCCGGCGCCTTCCCACAGCCTCCATCCCTGCTCGGGCTCTGCAGCGGGGCTCAGCCCTGCTCCAAAATGGGCTCGAGCCAACGAGACGGAGCAGAACAAGATTTTTACAGCCCATTAGTGCTCCCCGGAGCCATCCAGCCCCTCTTGCGCTAAAAGTGGTGGAAGCCACAGGAACATTGAGGCTGGTGTCCAGAAGATGCCAGCCTGCCCCCCAGTTTTGTGTCCCATCCTCGGGGCTCTGCCGGAGCCAGTGACCCCCCCCGACAGCCCTGGGGTGCTGGAAGTCCCCCCGGGAGTGCCACGATGAGCTGGTGAGCACCGGTCCCGGTCCGGCCCGGAGCTCCCTGTCAAGATGTGCATGGGAGGGTTCCAAGTGCAAATGTGTGTTTGCTAATGGGAAATGAATTGCCTCTTGCCCCGAAGGCTTGCAGCTTGAGGAAAACAACGCAGGGTCTAAGAATGACCTCATATTGCCTCCCAGGGAATGTTTTGCCAGATGAAGGGGGGAGAGGCAGCATCAAGACAGCACAATGTATGTATCTCTCTCCCTGTGTAAACATCCCTGTAGCTGCAGAAACCTCTTAAAACCCAGAATGAGAGGAGAACAGCTGCTTTGATCTGTGGATGTGGTTGTTATTTTCTAAGTGCGGATCCTTTCTTTTTTTAATTTTGCCTCAAATTAAAAAAATGCCTGTTGTGATCTTTTGCTTTTATTTCTTGGCTGGAGACCCGAGCAGGGTGCAGTAAATTTTCATTACTCCCCATGTAACCGTTTCAGCATGGTCGACAATTCCTCGCCGGCTCTTCAGCGCCGCAGCACAATGGGCCGAATCTGCTGGCCCTACATGAAGCCGGAGCAAATGGGTTTTGCCCAGAAGTGCTCCACGGGGAGTGGAGGCAGCGGGGAGGAGAGTGCTGCCACCTCCTCCCCTTCCCGACACACACACACACACACACGTGCACACGCACGGGCACACGGCGGCTGGGCTCTCCATCCCCGTTGCCTCTGAAGGGTTTTGGAGAGGGGCTCCCGGGGCCGGATCCGTGCCAACCCCGCACGGCAGCGGCAGGAGCTGGTGAGGAGCCACCAGGGCCGAAGCACCGGGCTGTCTTTCAGGCGATTTAAGTGTGATTCATGGCCCTTCCTCCAGCCTCCCTGTGTGATCCGGGGAAGCTCCGTCCGCCTGATTTTCCCCATCTGCGCCGGGAAGGGGACGGCTCCTCCATGCTGAGGGGCACCGTGGCACGTGCAGACCTGTGGCGGTGCAGGATGCGTGCTGGGACCCCCACCTTCTGCTCTTCCAGCCCTGGGAACCGGGTGGCACAGTTTGGGGAAGAAAACCAACTTTTAAGGGATTTTCTTGACATCAGCAGCCCATCCCAACGATGGTGCTCTGCAGCCCTTCTGCGTTGGATGAGCCAGGCGCAGGGCATGAGTGGTGCTACCAGCAGCTAAGGATGTGCCATAAGAGGCAAGATCCACCCCCAGTGCACCGTACTGGTTTAACTGGGAGCTCTCGGCCGGTCCCATCCCCAACAGGAGCGAGGAGCTTGCTTTCCCCCCCCGTGCCGTCACGTGGCCGCCCGGTGTTTTGGCGTTTTGATTACATACGGCACTGTGTATTTAGGGCTGGTTTATGGGTGTTTATACTAATGCGTAAACCTGTAATTTAGAAGCTCGGTTATAAATCAACATAGCTGAAGGTCTTGTCCCTCGTGCCTTGAGATCGGTCGCCAGATTTAGAAGACAGGTTAGAAAAAAAAAAGAAAAAGGAGGGTTTAGTTTTCCTCTGGTTACGATGATAAAAGATTGCGGGGTGGGATGCGAACGCGGCCGGCCCCAAGGTGCGGCTGGGTGAGGGGATTCGGGGTTTCCATTTTGGCTCGGTCTCATGACAGCAAGCTGCAGGAGATCCCTCTGGCTTTCGGCAGATCCCTCGGGAGGTCACGGCACCTTGGCTTGCAGGGACCTCGGCTGGAGAGCCCCTTCCCGCAGAGGCACAGCCCCTGTCCCAAAGAGCCCGCGGCACAGACTGCCGAGGGGACCTTACTATGGGTTTGGGACATCTGAGCAGGAACACGGAGCAAAGCCACACGGTGCAAAGCGGCTCAGAGGCTGCAAAGGCCGGGCTGGGGCTGGCAGGAGAGCCGGGAACCCCTTCCAGCAGCCCAGCAGGACAGCACATTCCTGCTGGTGCGTCGCGCTCCTCTCCGGATGCACTGGGATTTCTATGTATAACACTTTTTTTTATAGTTTTAATAATAATTTCTGTATCCCTGCACCTCCCCAGGCTGCCCTGAAGCCCAGTGGGGCCGGGAAGGGTTGGCATTACTGGGGTGACACAATGCAGCGAGGTGTTGGGACAGGTCACGTAGGTGCACGCTGTGCTCCACTGCATTTCTTGTCCACGTCTGGGCGTCTGTCCTCCAGCCGGCGGTGGTCTCCTCACTCTTTTGGAAGGGGTCGGCTCCCGTGTGGGTCCCTGCATGCCCACGGCAGTGATCCGAGGGTTAGGCATTTTTGTATGGCAAGCACAGACCCAGGGATTCCTCAGCATGTTCCCATCCAGCTGAGGACCCCCCTCTCCTTTCCACTGCAAGACAGCAGTGGGTGCCTGGGCTTAGCTGGGTGTTTTCTGCAGCCCCCAGACCCCTTGAGTTTACCTTCAGGGGGCTGTCAGGACAAAAGAGGCCAGATGAGGCTGCCGGGGCAGCACGGTGGGCTGGGACGACCCCAAGAGCTCCCAGGACAGGTGGGATGCCTGCACACCTTCCTGCCTGCCCCGGCTCCCTGCTGCAGCCTCCTCACCATGGGAATTGGGGATTTGGGGTGTGGGAGCACCCCAAAAGAGAAGAGAGGAGCTGCCAGCAGGTCCCAGTGCGAGGATGCAGGCACTGGGGAGGGGGGGCCGGGGTGCTGGGTGCGGGGATCAAGGCTGTGAGAGGCTCCCACAAACAACTAAAAAAAAAAACCCTGAATATTTCAGAAAGGTGTTTTCTCTCTTATTTTTGCTCCCCTCCCTTATTCCCAGTCCTCCCCACCTCTCCCAGAGCTGCCCTTCAGCTCCGCTCCCCACCGAGCCGCTCCCGCAGCCGCCGAGCCCCACGCCGCAGCCTCCCCAAACTCCTCGTATTTTTTTTCCCATTTGCTCCGTTTTTATTTATTTCCCCCTTCTTCTTTATTTTTTTTTCCTTCCGTCTTCATTTCTCCTTCCCCTTTCCTTTCCCTCCCACTCCCTTTTCTCACGGCAGACCCCTTCACCCCCCCTCCAACCCCCTTCCCAAGCTCGCCGCCACCGCCAACCCCGAGCCCTTGCGGGGCCGAGGGGCTGCGAGGCGCGGGGTGGCTCGGGGGGTCGCGGGGGGCTTTGCATTGATGCATTGATCGCCCATGGTCTGCGCCTGACCTCCCTGCTCCCAGGGAAGCAGTCTCCATGGCTACTGGCCCTGCTCCTCCAGAGCAGACTGTAAATTCCTGCAGGCAGAGCCCAGCCTGGGGGTGCGAGGGGGGGAGCCGGGAAGGAGCAGCCAAAGCCAAATAGAAAGAAAGAAAGGCAGGGAGAAAAAAAAGGGCGTTGCTTGGATGGGGCTCTCCTTTCCACTCCCCTTTCTCAGGTCCCCAGCACCAGTGCAAGGCGCCTGCTGCTTCCCCCCCTTCATCGCTGCTGCTGCTGCTGCTGCTGCTGCTGCTCCTCTCCTGCAGAACTGGAACTGGCTGGGATTATTTAGGGAAGGAAAAAAAGGGAAGAAGAAGAAGAAAAAGAAGAAGAAGGAGAAGGGATCAGAGCAGCCGCCAGAGAGAGGGCGATAGAGTCCACTTTCCTCCAACTGCCCTGGGTCTCCTTCCCTCGCTCCCTCCTCTTTAGCAACACCAAGAGCCCCAAAACTGAACCCAGAGCAGCTTTTTCCATCAGTTCAGTCCCCTTCCCTCCCTCTGCCCCACACACGGCAAGAAGAGAGCCCCTTCCTTCTCTTGACCCCCCTCTGCATGCTCAGCCTCTTGTTTCCTTTAAAGCACGAGAAATCCCCCTCCTTGCCCCCACTCCTGCAGGCAGACGGGGATTGCGATGGGAGCGTTGCAGCTTGCTGGATTTTGCACGCTTTTCTTTCTCCTCCACTCTGGAAAGACGCTGGCAAATAAAGCCGGTCAAGGTAAGAGAAATCTTCCCGGCTCGAGGCTTTGCTGGTGGACGTGCGGGTCGGCAGCTGGACCTCCTCTCCAGACCTGGGGCTTTACGCACAGGCTGGAGGAACCAGCAGCAGCAGTAACCACCAGTCGGGCTGCTTTGAAATGTTGCTTGCAGATATCCTGCCTGCTGCCTTCGCTTGGTTTTTCTGGAAACTCTTGAAGGAGTTGCATTTCTTACACTTTTTTTTTTTTTTTGTGTGTGTGTGGATGTGTGGGGCTGAACTCTTTATTTCAGGGCAGGGGGTGCAGAGGCAGAGAATGAGGGTGCGCAGACAAGTCTGCGCCCAGCACGGAGGCAGAAAGCCAAAACTGTTGCTGTTTCGGGGCGGTTTGGGGGTGCTGTGCCGCTCTGGGGGGGGCTCGCTGTCCATGGGGTGGGCTGGTTCCCATTGCCATGTGGGTGAGGAGGACGCGTTTCTGGCTGGGTTCGAGGGAAGGCACAGCGGAGCTGGTGTCTCGTGCTGGAAGGTGGGAGCTGCACGGCTGCACCCGCGCTTGTTTTACATCCGTGCGTGTTGAACCTCAAAGGCTGAGCCCCAGAGGGGTGTGCTGCAGGAAACTTGGGCGAGCTGAACGCCGGCAAACCCCGCAAAAAGCCTGCTCTGTGTGCCCACCTCTGGAAAAAGAGAGGTGCGTCCCGGCGTATCGTCTCAAGGCTTTGCTGTTTCCCTGCTCCTGTGCCTAGGCAGAGTTTCTCCCTGCCAGCCATACACACGTAGCTTTATGTACGGGGCTATCTATACCTTCGGTTTTTCTATAGCACCTCTATATTTAGCTCGGATTTTTCTCCAGGCACACGCACAGGAGTGCGCGCGCACGCCAGCACACACAGCCCTATGTGCATGATCTTCTTGGCTGTATCGAAGGTGTTTTTTTTTTTTTTTTTTTTTCCTAATTCACCGCTATCTGTACAATCTGTTGTTTGTTGGTTTTATTTTTTAATTTTTTTTCCATGGCGTTTAAGTGTATGCAAGATTTATCCGAACCAGCTTTGGCTCTTGCCATTGTAGTAGCTGCATGTTTATGCAGACAGCGAGATTAAATAGAGTGTGAATGAAATATAGGAGCGCGGGTTATAATTAAAGATCTCGTGCAGGCATTAGTAATAGCCACGTACCGGCACCCTGAGCCCTGTCACTGACAAAGTTGGAAGGAATTTCAAGGCTATTGTCTTATCTGGCTCAAAGTGTTTAAAACAATAGACGACTTTTCAGGAGGGCAGTCTGGACAAGCACGGGGGAGATTTTCCAGGGCAAAGGTTTGGTGAGAAGGCGTCCGGCTTCATGTAAAGCTTTACGATTTAGGCTTAGAAAGGAATGCTTAGGTTTTTATCCCCCCTCAAATTATCTTTAGTGTATGCATTGCTTTCATTTCTTATCATAATATTTATTTATTAAGGCCTTTTGGTTTCCAGTTCCATTTAAGCCTGAGCCAGAATTGCATTAAAATAGCAAAGTAAAATTCCATCGTGCAGGGACTTGACAG